TTATGTGTTTATGCCTGGGTTTTGGTAGTGCAAGTATGTTTGGATAGTAGAGCTTCAAGTAAGCACAATACAATTCATATTCTCATTTCCCGATTTTGTTGCTACATATTACTTTATATTTGCAAATCAGAATTGAAAGGATTTGTTTAACTTGTTGGCCTTTTAAGCTTAATGAATATAAAATTTCCTCATTAGCCATTTTGTAATGTAAAACTATTCATTTTAGAAATGTGGACTTATGTTTGTATTTTTATTAATTTGTTTTAAAATTTCATTTAACATGTTCTGTATTGTTTACATTTATTAGGATGAAATCAATCTGATTGGCCAGTTCACATCAAGCTCCACGATTATGTTAGCAACTACAATCAGATTACTGCTGTTGATTCAGCAAAAACAAACCTGTAGTGGTCAGAGAATGGATACTTATTTAATCAGGTATAATTTAATGTTATAATTGGACTTCATCAAAAGTTGTCTAAATAGCTAAGCCCATGAAGTCTGAAAATGACTGGTCAAAATCCTTTTCAGGTAGAATTCTATAGCAACAATGGAACAAAGTGCAGTGTTTATGAATATCATGATTATCATTATCTTAAATACCACATCAGATAAATGCTTTTTGTGCATAAATGCTGTTGTTGAACCATTGTATTTTTCTATTTTTCAGACTTACTTTGGTTGTGAATACATGGGTCGGAAGACTGCCCTGGATCTCATCATTGATTATTACAGCGACCTGGCTCTGCAGAAGCAGCAGTGGAACATGTGGAGACTGTAGTCCTATACCTATAGTCACTGTTCATACACAGCCATTAAGCTCTATACCATGTACACAACCTGTGGCTCTATGCCATGTACAACCCTGTAGCTCTATACCATGTACAACCCTGTGTAGCTCTATACCATGCTCTTGGCCTTGTAGCTCTATACCATGTACAACCTTGTGGCTCTATACCATGTACAGCCTGTGTAGCTCTATACCATGTACAACCCTGTAGCTCTATACCATGTACAACCCATGTAGCTCTATACCATGTACAGCCCTGTAGCTCTATACCGTGGCAACCCTGTGGCTCTATGCACCATGCACAACCTTGTGGCTCTATACCATGTACAGCCTGTAGCTCTGCCACCATGTACAACCCTGTAGCTCTATACCATATGCAACCTTGGCTCTGTACCATGCCCACAACCTTGTGGCTCTATACCATGTACAACCCTGTAGCTCTATACCATGTACAGCCCTGTAGCTCTATACCATGTACAACCCTGTGGCTCTGCCATGCACAACAGCAGCTCTATACCATGCTTGCAACCCTGTAGCTCTATACCATGTACAACCCTGTAGCTCTATACCATATACAACCTTAGCTCCTATACCATGTACAACCTTGTAGCTCTATACCATGTACAACCCTGTGGCTCTATACCATGTACAACCCTGTAAGCTCTATACCATGTACAACCCTGTAGCTCTATACCATGTACAACCCTGTAGCTCTATACCATGTAGCCCTGTAGCTCTATACCATGCACACAACCTTGTAGCTCTATACCATGTACACATCCCTGTAGCTCTATGCCATGTACAACCCTGTAGCTCTATACCATATACAACCCTGTAGGTCTATGCCATGTACACAACCCTGTGGCTCTATGCAATAGCAACCCTGTGGCTCTATAGCCATGTATGCAACCCTGTGGCTCTATACCATGTACAACCTGTGGCTCTGCCACCATGCAACCTTGTGGCTCACCATCTGCACAACCCTGTGGCTCTATACCGTAATGCCACCAGCCCTGGCAGGTACTGCCACCATGTGGCTCTATACCATGTACAACCCTGCCTGGCTCTATACCAGCCACTGCCACAACTCTATGCCATGCACAGCCAGCGGCTCTATACCATGCCCGCAGCCCTTGTGGCTCTATGCCATGGCCACAACCCTGCTCTATACCACCATATCACAACCTTGCCAGGCTCTATACCATGCTACAACCTTGCTTGGCTCTATACCATGTACAGCCCTGGCTCTATACCATAGTACAACCCTGTGGGTCTATACCATGTACAACCCTGTGGCTCTACATACCATGCACAACCTTGTGGCTCTATACCATGTACACAGCCCTGTAGCTCTATGCCATGTACAACCCTGTGGCTCTATACCATGTACAACCCTGTGGCTCTATGCCATGTACATGCAACCCTGTAGCTCTATACCATGTACAACCTTGTAGCTCTATACCATGTACAACCTTGTGGCTCTATACCATGTACAACCCTGTAGCCCTATACCATGTACAACCCTGTAGCTCTATACCATGTGTACAACCCTGTGGCCCTATACCATGTACGCAACCTGTGGCTCTATACCATGTACAACCTTGGCTCTATACCATGTACCACAACCTTGTAGCTCTATACCATGTACAACCTGTAGCTCTATACCATGGCACAGCCCTGTGGCTCTATACCATGCCACGGCCCTGTGGCTCTATACCATGTACAGCCCTGGCAAGCTCTGTTCCATGTACAACCTTGAAGCTCTATACCATGTACTGCCTTGTAGCTCTATACCATGCATGCATGCCCTGTGGCTCTATACCATGTACATGCCTGTGGCTCTATACAGTGCACAACCCCTGTGGCTCTGTGCCATGTACAGAAGCCTGTGTGCCCACCATGCACAACACTGTGCCTTACACCATGCAAACCTGTGGCCTTACACCATGCACAGCTTTATGTCTATACCATGCACAACCTGTGGCTCTATACCATGCACAACCCTGTGGCTCTATACCATGTACAGCCTTGTAGCTCTATACCATGTACAACCCACTGTAGCTCTATACCATGTACAACCCTGTAGCTCTATACTATGCACAACCCTGTAGCTCTATACCATGTACAACCTGTGTAGCCCTATACCATGTACAGCCTTGTCTATCTTCTACCATGTACAACTTGTAGGCCCTATACCATGCACAACCTTGTAATCCTATACCATGTACAACCTTGTGTCCTATACCGTGTACAACCTTGTGGCTCTATGCCATGCACAACCCTGTGGCTCTATACCATGTACAGCCCTGTGGCTCTATACAATGCACAGCCCTGTGGCTCTATACCATGTACCTCCTGTAGCATTACACCATGCACAACACTGTGTAGCCTTACACCATGCACAACACTGTAGCCTTACACCATGCATGACTTTGTAGCTCTATACCATGTACAACCCTGTAGCCTTACACCGTGCACAACTTTGTAGCCCTATACCATGCACAAACCTGTAGCCTTACACCGTGCACAACTCTATACCATGCACAGCTCACTGTGGCTCTATACCATGTACAACCCTGTGGCTCTATGCCATGTACAACCCTGTGGCTCTATACCATGTACAGCCCTGTGGCTCCTATACCATGCACAACCCTGTGGCCCACACCATGCATGCCCTGTAGCTCTATACCATGTACAGCCCTGTGGCCTTACACCATGCACAACTTTGTGGCCCTACCATGCACAGAGCCTGTGGCCTTACACCATGCACAACTGGCTCTATGCCATGTACAACCCTGGCTCTATACCATGTGTACAACCCTGTGGCTCTATGCCATGTACAACCTTGTGGCTCTATGCTATGCACAGCCTGTGGCTCTATACCATGTACAACCCTGTGGCTCCTATGCAGCCACCATATGCCATATAGCCCTGCAACCATGCAGCCTCTATGCCATGTACAGCCTGTACAACCAGCCCTGTGGCTCTATACCACCTGTGGCTCTATGCACAACCTTGGCTCTATGCCATGTGCAACCCTGCGGTCCTATACCATGTGACCCTGTGGCTCTATGCCATGTACAGCCCTGTGGCTCTATACCATGTACAACCTTGTAGCTATACCATGTACAACCCTGTGGCTCTATACCGTGTGTACAACCTTGTGGCTCTATACCATGTACAGCCCTGTGGCTCTATACCATGTACAACCTTGCCTGTGTGGCTCTATACCGTATGTGGCTCCTACCGTGCGCAACCTGTGGCTCTATGCCGTGTGCTAGATGCTGTGGCTGTATACTATGCTAGGCCCTATACCGTGCACAACCTTGTGGCTCTATACCGTGCACAACCTGTGGCTCTATACCATGCACACAACCTTGTTGTGGCCCTATACCATGTACAACATTGGTAGTCCTATACCATGTACAACATTGTAGTCCTATACCATGTACAACGTTGTAGTCCTATACCATGTACAACCTTTGTAGTCCTATACCATGCACTCAGTAATAATCCTTAAAACCGTTAGATGATGTGTTTTAGATCCTTGGTTACATTACAAAGCCGTGTGGCACAACATGCAGATGGAGTGAAATCGGCTTTTTATCAAATTAGTAACCGTTACATGGAGTGTTTTCAACTCTGCAGAGTTACATCCACTTTTGCAGGAGGATGATGATGATCTGGTTTACCTGCTGTGGATGTTGTAGTGGGCCTGGAGAAGCACTACCTGACCAAGGTGGACGACATCCTTGACCACCTGCAGGACCTCATCTTTATCATACTCAGTAAGACAGTCAGGAGTACATTCAGAGTGTTCAGTACATCTATGCTGTACTCAGTAAGACAGCCAGATGTACATTCAGGGTGTTCAGTACATCTACACTGTACTCAGTAAGTCAGCCAGGAGTACATTCTGGGTGTTCAGTACATCTATGCTGTACTCAGTAAGTCAGCCAGGAGTACATTCAGGGTGTTCAGTACATCTACGCTGTACTCAGTAAGTCAGCCAGGAGTACATTCAGGGTGTTCAGTACATCTATGCTGTACTCAGTAAGTCAGCCAGGAGTACATTCAGGGTGTTCAGTACATCTATGCTGTACTCAGTAAGTCTGCCAGGAGTACATTCAGGGTGTTCAGTACATCTACACTTTACTCAGTAAGTCAGCCAGGAGTACATTCAGGGTGTTCAGTACATCTACACTTTACTCAGTAAGTCAGCCAGGGGTACATTCAGGGTGTTCAGTACATCTACACTGTACTCAGTAAGTCAGCCAGGGGTACATTCAGGGTGTTCAGTACATCTACACTGTACTCAGTAAGACAGTCAGGGGTACATTCAGGGTGTTCAGTACATCTACACTGTACTCAGTAAGACAGTCAGGAGTACATTCAGGGTGTTCAGTACATCTATGCTGTACTCAGTAAGACAGCCAGATGTACATTCAGGGTGTTCAGTACATCTACGCTGTACTCAGTAAGTCAGCCAGGAGTACATTCAGGGTGTTCAGTACATCTACACTGTACTCAGTAAGTCAGCCAGGAGTTCATTCTGGGTGTTCAGTCAATCTACACTGTACTCAGTAAGTCAGCCAGGAGTACATTCAGGTTGTTCAGTACATCGACACTGTACTCAGTAAGTCAGCCAGGGGTTCATTCAGGGTGTTCAGTACATTTACACTGTACTCAGTAAGTCAGCCAGGAGTTCATTCTGGGTGTTCAGTACATCTACACTTTACTCAGTAAGACAGTCAGGAGTACATTCAGGGTGCTCAGTACATCTACACTGTACTCAGTAAGTCAGCCAGGAGTACATTCTGGGTGTTCAGTACATCTACACTGTACTCTGTAAGTCAGCCAGGAGTACATTCAGGGTGTTCAGTACATCTACACTGTACTCAGTAAGTCAGCCAGGAGTACATTCAGGGTGTTCAGTACATCTATGCTGTACTGAGTAAGTCAGCCAGGAGTACATTCTGGGTGTTCAGTACATCTACGCTGTACTCAGTAAGTCAGCCAGGAGTACATTCAGGGTGTTCAGTACATCTACGCTGTACTCAGTAAGTCAGCCAGGAGTACATTCAGGGTGTTCAGTACATCTATGCTGTACTCAGTAAGTCAGCCAGGAGTACATTCAGGGTGTTCAGTACATCTATGCTGTACTGAGTAAGTCAGCCAGGAGTACATTCAGGGTGTTCAGTACACCTACGCTGTACTCAGTAAGTCAGCCAGAAGTACATTCAGGGTGTTCAGTACATCTACACTGTACTCAGTAAGACAGTCAGGAGTATATTCAGGGTCTTCAGTACATCTACACAGTACTGAGTAAGGCAGTCAGGAGTATATTCAGGGTCTTCAGTACATCTACACTGTACTCAGTAAGTCAGCCAGGAGGACATTCAAGGTGTTCAGTACATCTACACTGTACTCAGTAAATCAGTCAGGAGTACATTCATGGTGTTCAGTACATCTACATGTTACTCAGTAAGACAGTCAGGAGGACATTCAGGGTGTTCAGTACATCTACACTTTACTCAGTAAGACAGTCAGGAGTACATTCAGAGTGTTCAGTACATCTACACTTTACTCAGTAAGACAGTCAGGAGTTCATTATGGGTGTTCAGTACATCTACACTTTTCTCAGTAAGGCAGTCGGGAGTACATTCAGGGTGTTCAGTACATCTACACTTTACTCAGTAAGACAGTCAGGAGTACATTCAGGGTGTTCAGTACATCTACACTTTACTCAGTAAGACAGTCAGGAGTACATTCAGGGTGTTCAGTACATCTACACTGTACTCAGTAAGTCAGCCAGGAGTACATTCAGGGTGTTCAGTACATCTATGCTGTACTGAGTAAGTCAGCCAGGAGTACATTCTTGGTGTTCAGTACATCTACACTTTACTCAGTAAGACAGTCAGGAGTACATTCAGGGTGTTCAGTACATCTATGCTGTACTGAGTAAGTCAGCCAGGAGTACATTCAGGTTGTTCAGTACATCTACACTGTACTCAGTAAGTCAGCCAGGGGTACATTCAGGGTGTTCAGTACATCTACACTTTACTCAGTAAGACAGTCAGGAGTACATTCAGGGTGTTCAGTACATCTATGCTGTACTCAGTAAGTCAGCCAGGGGTACATTCAGGTTGTTCACTACATCAGTACACAGGGTGTTCACTCAGTACTCAGTAAGTCAGCCAGGGGTACATTCAGGGTGTTCAGTACATCTACACTGTACTCAGTAAAGTCAGCCAGGGGTACATTCAGGGTGTTCAGTACATCTACACTGTACTCAGTAAGTCAGCCAGGGGCTACATTCAGGGTGTTCAGTACATCTACAATTTACTCAGTAAGACAGTCAGCCAGGGTACATTCAGGGTGTTCAGTACATCTACACTGTACTCAGTAAGTCAGCCAGGGGTACATTCAGGGTGTTCAGTACATCTACACTTTACTCAGTAAGACAGCCAGGAGTACATTCAGGGTGTTCAGTACATCTATGCTGTACTGAGTAAGTAAAGCCAGGAGTACATTCTGGGTGTTCAGTACATCTACACTTTACTCAGTAAGACAGTCAGGAGTACATTACATCTATGCTGTTCAGTACATCTACACTGTACATCAGTAGTAAGTCAGCCAGGGGTACATTCAGGGTGTTCAGTACATCTACACTTTACTCAGTAAGACAGCCAGGAGTACATTCTTGGTGTTCAGTACATCTACACTGTACTCAGTAAGACAGCCAGGAGTACATTCAGGGTGTTCAGTACATCTACACTGTACTCAGTAAGTCAGCCAGGAGTTCATTCAGGGTGTTCAATACATCTACGCTGTACTCAGTAAGTCAGCCAGGGGTACATTCAGGGTGTTCAGTACATCTACACTGTACTCAGTAAGTCAGCCAGGGTACATTCAGGGTGTTCAGTACATCTACACTGTACTCAGTAAGTCAGCCAGGGGTACATTCAGGGTGTTCAGTACATCTACACTTTACTCTGTAAGTCAGCCAGGGGTACATTCAGGGTGTTCAGTACATCTACACTGTACTCAGTAAGTCAGCCAGGGGTACATTCAGGGTGTTCAGTACATCTACACTTTACTCAGTAAGACAGTCAGGAGTACATTCAGGGTGTTCAGTACATCTACACTGTACTCAGTAAGTCAGCCAGGAGTACATTCAGGTTGTTCAGTACATCTACACTGTACTCAGTAAGTCAGCCAGGGGTACATTCAGGGTGTTCAGTACATCTACACTTTACTCTGTAAGTCAGCCAGGGGTACATTCAGGGTGTTCAGTACATCTACACTGTACTCAGTAAGTCAGCCAGGGGTACATTCAGGGTGTTCAGTACATCTACACTGTACTCAGTAAGTCAGCCAGGGGTACATTCAGGGTGTTCAGTACATCTACACTGTACTCAGTAAGACAGTCAGGGGTACATTCAGGGTGTTCAGTACATCTACACTGTACTCAGTAAGACAGTCAGGAGTACATTCAGGGTGTTCAGTACATCTATGCTGTACTCAGTAAGACAGCCAGATGTACATTCAGGGTGTTCAGTACATCTACACTGTACTCAGTAAGTCAGCCAGGAGTACATTCAGGGTGTTCAGTACATCTACACTGTACTCAGTAAGTCAGCCAGGAGTACATTCTGGGTGTTCAGTCAATCTACACTGTACTCAGTAAGTCAGCCAGGAGTACATTCAGGTTGTTCAGTACATCTACACTGTACTCAGTAAGTCAGCCAGGGTTCATTCAAGGGTGTTCAGTACATCTACACTGTACTCAGTAAGTCAGCCAGGAGTTCATTCTGGGTGTTCAGTACATCTACACTTTACTCAGTAAGACAGTCAGGAGTACATTCAGGGTGTTCAGTACATCTACACTGTACTCAGTAAGTCAGCCAGGAGTACATTCTGGGTGTTCAGTACATCTACACTGTACTCTGTAAGTCAGCCAGGGGTACATTCAGGGTGTTCAGTACATCTACACTGTACTCAGTAAGTCAGCCAGGAGTACATTCAGGGTGTTCAGTACATCTATGCTGTACTGAGTAAGTCAGCCAGGAGTACATTCTGGGTGTTCAGTACATCTACACTGTACTCAGTAAGTCAGCCAGGAGTACATTCAGGGTGTTCAGTACATCTACATTACTCAGTAAGTCAGCCAGGAGTACATTCAGGGTGTTCAGTACATCTATGCTGTACTCAGTAAGTCAGCCAGGAGTACATTCAGGGTGTTCAGTACATCTATGCTGTACTGAGTAAGTCAGCCAGGAGTACATTCAGGGTGTTCAGTACATCTACACTGTACTCAGTAAGTCAGCCAGGGAAGTACATTCAGGGTGTTCAGTACATCTACACTGTACTCAGTAAGACAGTCAGGAGTATATTCAGGGTCTTCAGTACATCTACACAGTACTGAGTAAGGCAGTCAGGAGTATATTCAGGGTCTTCAGTACATCTACACTGTACTCAGTAAGTCAGCCAGGAGGACATTCAAGGTGTTCAGTACATCTACACTGTACTCAGTAAATCAGTCAGGAGTACATTCATGGTGTTCAGTACATCTACATGTTACTCAGTAAGACAGTCAGGAGGACATTCAGGGTGTTCAGTACATCTACACTTTACTCAGTAAGACAGTCAGGAGTACATTCAGAGTGTTCAGTACATCTACACTTTACTCAGTAAGACAGTCAGGAGTTCATTCAGGGTGTTCAGTACATCTACACTTTTACTCAGTAAGGCAGTGGGAGTACATTCAGGGTGTTCAGTACATCTA